TCAAAACACCAAAAGCTGTAAACCGAACCGAATGTACAGAAAAACATAAACCGAACCGAACCGAACTGAACCGAACAATTGAAAACTTAAAATACCGACCGAAAACTGTTCGGTTCGGTCGGTTTGATCAGTCATTCCGGTTATTCTTTCACCCCTAATTCTAATTGACAAATCAACTTATATCTTTTAAAATTTGCACTTTCCTCTTGAGCCTGCAAACCTCGCTCAAGTGCGCTTTGTTCCCCTTTGAAGTGTATTTTTTTTTTCCATTTATTTCATCTACTACTTTAAAAGCTTGTATTCTTGTGCTTGGAGGACTTGCATCAACGTTTCCCAAAAATAAGAAAAAAATTTGTTGTTTGACTTATTTTCACTCTAAATTGATTTCAAATCAAAAGTTAATTGCTATTGTGAATCAACTTAAGGTTGTTTTGACAATTTGCTATTTTAATTTATTTTTTATTTCAATGGGTTGTTAAAACAATCCTTAGATTCTAAAACTCATTACAACTTGTAAAGGGTCAGAAATTAAGGCTAAAATTAAGTATGTACCTAAGTGCTGAGGTTGTCTCTGTTAGGCGAGTACGAATAATTAAAGGAGTGCTAAGGTTGTCTCTGTTAGGCGAGTACAAATAATTAAAAGAGGTATGGACCTAAGTGCTGAGGTTGTCTCTATTAGGCAAGTATGAATGATTAAAGGAGCATGGGCTAAGGCCCATGGGAAATGGGTCAATAGTAGGCCAAAACAAGTCCAACCCGCAAAAGGTCCAAACAAGCTCCATAAAGAAAAATGGCTAAGTCAAGATGCAGAGGCAACACTTGCAACGGTCAAGTTGCTAAAGCACTTTGTTTTAGCGCTGTCATCCCAAGTATTGTCGGCACCGTAATTTGAACTTGTTGAGGGAAAATGAAAACCGCAGTAACTAACTTCTTGAGGCAGCACTTGCAACGGCCAAGTTGTTGAGGTACTTTTTCGATGCCGTCATCTCTAGTATTGTGTGTCACCATTTGAACTTGTTACGGGAAATAACTACCACAGCAACTACAACCTCCACAACTAACTTACAGAGGGAAGACTCCATCAAGGTGATAGCAACCTTTGAGAGAAGTTTTCCTTCCACAAGTAGAGATTAATGCTTGGCGCTAATAGAAGGCCCCAAAGTCATTATTAGCTTAGTGCTGATAGCAGGTCTCGAAGCTCACTAACTTGGCACTGATAGTAGATCTCGAAGCTTACTGGTTGGAACTGATAATAGGCCCAAAGATACCAGTATACCGCGACGACCTCGCGAGGATAGAAACAGGGCAGCCCGAGCGCAAGGGACTCCCTTCCCATTTGCCTAGGTCATAGATCTGCCTTGGTTATATATGCATGACCAAGGAAGCCCTCATTGGGCTTGGTACAAGGCAGAGCCCTAGTTGTGGCCTTCGACCTAAGAAGTTGGGGAGTTTGTGGTTAGGTGGCTATGGATGGAAAAGTCGCTGAGGTAAACACGAACATGACTGATAGCAGGCTATGAAGTCTTGAGAATGCATGTCTTAGCCAAACTAAACTGAGAAGGCAAGTGCAGCAGTAGGTATTACTACTGCAAGTGCACTTGTTGAGGTTCAAAAAAGGAAGTTGCTGAGGTATATATCAAATAGATAGTACATTACATGTGCTGAGGCATTGGTGCCAAATAGATAGTACACAGTACATGTAAAGGGACACATGACAACCTTAGCCTGGTGGTCTAAAACAAAATATTTCATATGATCCTTAAGGACACATGTCCTCATCTTATTTGGCAATACTCTTTGGTGCCAAGGAAAAGCCTATAAATATGACTTATTTCCCAAGCCCAAAGGAGAACTTCTTCAGACTTGGGGGTTATGCTATTCACTTGTGCACTGCCATTTCCTTATTCTTGAGCCACTTGCTTTACCTTCACCTAACTACTCGTCCTCTAACTTTCCCATATTTGTTGACTCATGAACATAGTTTTGCCTCTTTGATCACTCTAATAATCACTGTTCATTTCAAACCCCCTGCACAACTCAAATAAACAATTATAAATTAAATAAATTTTATAAATCAAACTAAAATAAAATTAAGGCAAATTACAAATAAGTGAGACAATGATAAAGGGATGTTTGGTGCAACTATTAAAATAAATTATAAATTATAACTTAACGGATTATAAATTATAGTTTTAATCAGAAGTTGTTAATCTATTTGGTACAGCTGTTAGATTATAGATTTAAGTTGTTGAGTAATGTTTGGTAAATAAGCTGTAAAATAGTTTTTTGAATTAACTTTTATTTTTTATTATTCATTACTAGTCCACATTTTCCATAAAAAATAATAATAATAATTAATAGTCCATTTGGATATTTTTCTATTTTTTTAAAATAAAAAATAAAAAAATCTAAGGATATACTAGTAAATTAACATACCCACGACAGAAGTTTATAATTAGAAGCTGGGGGTGAATGACTTTTTAGAATCAGTTTTTCTGAGTTAAAATAAGTTGATAGAATCAAAAGTTGTTTGAAATAAGTTTAACTAAATAGTCCAAAATAGCTTTTCCAAAACTACAATCTATAAGTATGCCAAAATAAGTCACACCAAACACTTCCAAAAATAATTGCATTATAAAGAGAATATTTTTTGGGGCAATTTGACACATAGAAAAGACTTACTAAACATTAAAAAGACTTGAACCATGCACATTGAAAATTTGTATTACAATATATATATATATATATATATATATATTAATTTCTTTACAACTATACTAAAACGTAATTTTTTCATAAAATTATTGCACTAAGAGTGTCTCCAACCCTTTATCAGATTTGATGAAAAACTGATGAAAATGGTGCTATAACCATTTCATTAGTTTGGTATCAAATAAAGAACGTAGTACTTTTTTCATCAAATGAAATGAGCGTTTAACCTTTCATTAAATTTATAAGTGACCAATAGACCGAATGTCAATAGACCGAATGTCTGCCTGAATGTCCTCCTGGACAACTAGTTTTGGGATGAATTTGATGAAAATTTTACTCTAGCTAGTCGACCATCCGAACATCCTCTCGGCCGTCCTCCTAGTCAACTAGTACTTTGATGAAAAATGAAAATTTTATGTTGGAACGTTCAATATCAAATGAATTTTTTACTTAAATTTGATGAAAAAATAATAAACGTTGGAGATGCTCTAACACCCTAAACACATAGATTTTTTTTTTCTTTTACAAAAAATCACTAGTTAATATTGTGCATAATCAACAACAAATCGTTAATAAAATACATGAAATACAAGATAAATTGTAAAAAGGACAGAGAGAATTTTACCTAGGGAGAATACGAGTCTTCATATAAAAAGAAAAATAAATCTCCACACAAGAAAAATAATACCTTTATGAAAGCAGAAAATCTCTAGACAGAGACAGAGACATAATTGAAACATAAAAAAAAATTAAAAAAAATTAAAACAATCGATACCAAACAAATATTACTAATCATTTTCACAATCCGTGTATCATCACAATGATTAAGCATATCACCCTATTACTTTGACATTTTAGTATCTCTTCAAAACCCAATAAAAAATAAAAAATAATTTATCCACACAAATTTCCATACAATGCCTTTGAATGTGTTTCTGACCGGCAAGAAAATGATTTTGATCGGTAAAAAATTATCTCCTTACCGATTAGAACAATATTCAGAGAGAATTCGAAGAAAAAAATTTGTATGAATGTATTATTACTAATAAAAATATTAGATCTCAAAAATTTTCAGCACAACCACTACTAGTATTTCCATGGAAATAATTGTTGACCGGTGGTACTATATCCCCAATATAGCAAGTAATGTTAGAGATTTATATTTTCAAAAAATTGAAATCAAGCACAATAATACTTAGGCCTCGTTTAGCAACATGTCGGTTTAGTTAAAAAGTCAAAAAATTATTAAAAAATTTAAAAAATCAACAATTCATACCAAAAAGTCAAAGATTCTATTTTCTCTTTATTTTTTGCACATCTTTTCGTAAAAAGTCAAAAAGCCATCCCAAATATGCTAATTTTTTTTAGCTCATATTTTAGTCAAATAGCCAAAAAGTTACTAAATTAGCCTGTTCCCAAACGAGACCTACTCTATAATAAAGACTTAGGTCTCGTTTGGTAAGTGACTTTAAAAATTAAAAAGCCAACAATTCATACCAAAAAGTTCAAGATTCTCTTTTCTCTTTACTTTTTGCATATCTTTTCGTAAAAAGTTAAAAATTATCCCAAACATTCTAGTTTTTTTTAGTTCATATTTTAGCCAAATAATTAAAAAATTACTAAATTAACTTGTTCTTAAACGAGACTTTAATGGTGTTTTGATAGAGAAGTTATTAGTTAATATTAAAACACATCACATAATATTTGATGTGTGTGAGAGAGAGATTTATTTGAAAAACTTGTTTGGTTTACAAGTTTTGAGAAATTTTTTTGAGAAAATTTATTTGGTTTGATTACTTTTAAAAACTTATTTGTAGAGAAAATTTCTCAAAATTTTTTCAGAAATACAAACCAAACGAACCCAAAGATTCTCTTTTCTCTTTACTTTTTGCATATCTTTTCGTAAAAAGTCAAAAATTATCCCAAACATTCTAGTTTTTTTTAGTTCATATTTTAGCCAAATAATTAAAAAATTACTAAATTAACTTGTTCCCAAACGAGACTTTAATGGTGTTTTGATAGAGAAGTTATTAGTTAATCTTAAAACACATCACATAATATTTTAATTATATTGTGATTAATAATTAAAAAATATAATAAATTAGAATTAATATAGAGCATGACCTCATGACGTCCACAACCAACCAATAATTTTTTACTTTGGTAGGCCACCCATGAGAGTTTTCAGACCCTCCCTTCTCACTATGGAGTCTATAGAAGTAGAGTAGTCTCTTTCCCAACCCAGAGTCAGAAACTTACAGCCTGACTACTAAACCCCTCAATTCCCCCAAATAAATTACTCCAGTAGGGCCTTTCCCTTTTCTTTAATTCAAAAGCTCAATTTTTTTATTCATTTTTTATTTGCTCTCACTTTTGTCTTTACCTTCCCTTCCTCTTTCCCAACACTTTCACTTTCCTTCCTCTTCATTTCAAATCTAGGGTTTCTATTTATTTCTCTCTTTCTTTTTCGTTGATGTGTTCAAGAACAGCTCATTCACAGTTCAAAAACAGATGGTTGGTTAACCTCTGGTTTGAGAGTGGCTTCAAAGCTTTAAGCTTTTCTACATTCTTTTGAATAAGCTCTTCTATGGGTTTGTGATATCGAGAATTTTCAGCTTTTGACATTTTTAGTTTCTTCTTTTCTTTTTCATTCTCTCCTCTGGGTAGAGTCTCAAAGATTTATTTTGTTGATTTTTCTAGCTGTAAAACTCTTGTTAAGATTTTAGTTCCAGTGATTCTATTTTTCTTTAACTTTTGATCAGCTCTTTGATTGTTACTAGTGCATTTTTAGAGTTGTAGATTTGAGGGTATTTTGAGGTGAGTATTTAGTGAGTAAATGCATGGATGGGAGGGAAAGCATGGCACTATCTGGGTCTTCTTCTTATTACCTTCATAGAGGGTATAGTGGGTCTGGTTCTGCTTCTGGGTCTGGAACTCAAACTGGGTTATATAACCCGCCTGGTTTCAGGCCTCCAGCAAACCCTAACATTTTAGTGCAGTCCAATGTAAGGGATAGCTCTAGAGGGTCAACATTCCCAGTACAAAACACATCACCAAGTTTCCCTCATGGCCTCAACATAGATGTGCCATCTGGTGTGCCAACTGTGGAGCCTGTAAAGAAAAAAAGAGGGAGGCCTAGGAAATATGGCCCAGATGGGACCAATGTGTCTCTAGGACTCTCTCCGATGTCGTCGAGGTCGATCACGCCCTCGACCCCAAAACGGGGTAGAGGCCGCCCGCCTGGCAGTGGGAGGAAGCAACAATTGGCACTTCTCGGTGAGTTTTTGTTGTTGAAAATTTAATTGGATTTCATGCTTATGCTAGATTATATGCAATTATTTAACTGATGACATGTCTTTGGGGTTGGGACCAGTCTTACCAGCTTATACTCCTTATGTGTCTGTTTGTCTCAAGGCTTGGTTTTCCTGGCCTACATTGTGTTTCAGTTGTGGTAGTTGTTATGGGTACTTTACATTATGGAGGGAACGCTGGCTAGCAATTGGTAGGGTGCTAGACTGTATGGATTCAGTAAGTCTAGGAATTGAAAAAACAGTACATAGAAACCAAACCAAACACAAAATCAGACCAAAACAAACCAAACACATGGATGGACAGGATTTCACAAGATATGTTGTTAGGGCGTACTCCTGGAAAATCCTGTCCATTGAGGTGTTGTCTGTGTTTGGTTTTTGTTTTCCTAGACATGTTCATATGATTATTTACATAATTTAATATGAGAGTTTCAGTGATGTGCCTAGTCATTCGGTTAGTTTGTTGGCTTATTGGTACTTGATATGAATTAATGATTTTTATTAAGGATGTGTTTGGTCCAATTTCTCGTAATTCTTTTATGAACTATCCCCATGTTATATTGGCGACCATAATGCCTGCCCTGTAAAATCTTCATTCACAAATACAATAGTGTCAGTGCAATATTCTTCTAAACATGTTGCGAAGTTGTGAACTTTGAGGTCGTTTACAATGCGCAAAGGCCTTGACTTCCAGAGTCAACTTTGCCTTAAATTGTGAAACTGTTCCTAACACGCTCTCTTATTTGAATCTTGGGGGTTGGGGATGCCAGAATTCAGAAACAAGAATGCGGGATATCCACATTCTCTGTTTTAAGTGTAACTCTAACTTGTTCAAAGTAGCAGAGTTTGTTAATTTTGGTATATTTGAGCTGTTTGACATGCAATTTAGGTTGTGTGGATGTTGGTTTCTATCCTCCTTACTTTTTTGGTTGTTGGAGAAATTGAAGTTGCTTCCAAGTAATCGATGGTTTTCTGCCAGGTGAATGGATGAACGAACAGTTTAGCAGGATTGGCTTTTGCACCACATGTCCTCCACGTTGCACCAGGAGAGGTATGCTATATCCCACCTGGCAATTTTTAAGCACTACCATATATAGTATTTTGGAAGCTTGATTTGACTATGTTATTGTTTACCTTTCCTTGGACTTAAGAGGTCGATGTTGTATGCATTCATAACCTTTATTTATTTAAAAAGTACCACTTTTAACTAGACTGAATTGGTTGTTTTTTAGGATTTATTAGAAGCTTGTAATTCATGTAGTTTATATATGATAACAGTTTTATACAAGAATGGTGCTATTGGGAAAATTTTTGTTAACTTGATAAATGAAGGATCTTAATTATTTGTTCAAGTTAAAGATTATCTATTTTTTCCTCATAAAAGTTAAGGGTTGTTTGGGATGATCTAAATAAGTGCACTTAGGCCAAGTTTGGGGACTTTAAAAAAAGCCAAAAAGCCAAAAAGTTACTCAAAAAGTTAAAAAGTTAACACTATTCACCAAAAGTCTTTTGATTTTTTGGCTTTTTTGAAACTTGCCAAACCAGCCCTTAGTTTTTTTTAATGATAATACAATATGTACCGACTATGGTTTTTGTTATTACCCGAATACTTATGGATATTGGCTGTGAGGTAAATTAGGTAATTGTATACCCGTATTCTGCAGGACATTGCCTCAAGAGTATTGTCATTTTCACAACAGAGGCCAAGGGCTGTATGCATCTTGTCAGGCAATGGTGCAGTTTCTGCAGTCACACTTCGCCAACCTATATCCTCTGACACCACTGTAACATATGAGGTTGAAGCTCTCTAATCCATGTCTCTGTCTGCACTGAATTCTTTAATTTTTTTTTGTGTTTCCTTTTTTGTTGATTCTCTTGCCCTCATCAATTTAGGTTCTAAAAGCTGTATAAGGAAATTACAACTATTTAGTGACATTATATGTATTCGTACTAGCTGTGATCTTAAATTGCATGTAGAATATGTTACTTTTGTATTTGATGATATTAAAGTGTAATCTAAAATCATTATGTATTTTATGTACTTTCAATAAAAAAAGGAAAAAAAAGAAAGAAGGAAAGGTACATTTGAATGTTTGCATACATTGTTCATTATTAATACTGAATGCTCCTTATTTTGTTATTTATATTTTGTTTCTTTATCCTTCTTTTAGTAAGATAGATATCTGCACTATGGCCAAAATCAGGGCACTTGTACTTTGACTGTGTTATTATGACATTTGGTTTGGTATATTGCAGACAATGCTAAATTGGCAGGCTATGTTAGATGGACATGAGTGCATTTGTCAGATATGTGTCATTGTATGTTTGTGTAGGTGTTGGAATTAATAAGATTTCTAGATCTTAATGTTGGATAGTTTGATATATATATTGTTGGGCCTATTTCCTAACAGCTTAAGCCTTTAGGACTAGTGGTAATCTTAGACATGGTATTAGATCTCAAATTAGGAGAACTTTTAGATTCAAGTCTCTCCGTTTGTATTTGTTTTCCGTTTGCATTCTGCTTCTCTCTATGTATTTTTTTATTTTTCCACGTGGAAAATGATGTTGCACTTGAGGGAGGGTGTTGGATAGCTTGATATACATTATTGGGCTCATTTTTTAACAACTTAATTTTGGGATGAGTAGTGATCTACTTAAGATGCGGAAACATGGCTAGATCATTGGTATTGCTAGTTTTTCTTCAACCCCAAAAATGTAAAATGTTGTGTCCAGAACTGCAGGGGTATTTGCAGTAGTTCTAAAATAAATACAAGTGATCACCTATGAGAAAGTTGTGGATGCCTATTTGGTTACTTTTAAACCTATAAGGGGCCTGTAATTGTGCATTGATAACATTCCCATCTTCAAAAGGTTTGGAAGCCACAAATATGATTTTTTCTTCCTCTCTCGTTGAAGTCCAAATATTTCACTTTAGCCCTCGTTTTAAGAGTACCTGACCTTTACCTTATTGATAAGAACTCTTGAATAAACAGAAGTAGTAGCATGGCCAAGGGATTAAAGCTGCCTTTCCATCTCTCAATTAACTAGACTGGGATTGGAAAAACTTGAAATAATTGATGCTTGGAGAAATGGAAGAGTGGTCAGTGATGGAGAAATTGATCCTCAAAGATTTCCTTGGTCTTTATGTGGCTCTCAAACGGTCTCAGATATTCTTCTTCATGAGTACTGTTCCAATTCCATATCATCAAGATATATTCTTGCAGGAAGTAGCACATTTGTGTTGCCTGATTTCATTGCTTTCCTTATTTCCTGCTACTTTATTGCATTCCATATAAACCAAAAGGCAAAATGGTTGACTCATGTAGAGTCCCCGTAGACAAGATGCTCCAGGTCCACTGAGCTTACTGAAGTGGTGACTTAGTAAGAAAAGAATTTCTTTGGAAATGTCGAACTAATCCTTGCCAAATTGAGTAAAAAATTCCAACTTAGGATAAAATGGTTCCATAGAATGCTAGTGCACAAGAATCACATGATTTTCTATTTCTTAATTTTTTTTTTCTTAAATGTTTTTTTTTCCTTCTTTTTTGTTTTGTTTTGTTTTTGTTTGTTTTTTTTTGATTTTTTTTGTTTTTGTTTTTGTGTGTGTAGTTTGAATAAATTAACTTTCAGATAGAGGACAGCTATTGCTAATAAAAGGTTGAATGATAGCTTTGGATAAGGATTCAAAGGGCAAGGGGAATCTTTAGCTTTAGAACAATTCTCCAGTCCTTGATTAAAGAAAATATAGTTATTGTTTAGAATATTAAGGCATTTATTGAAGAATGGGATTCGATTCATTCAAATGAACATGGAAAACCAACCCAGGAAAGTGAAACACTAGAAGAGTGCTCTCCACGTCACTTGTCGTCCTCCTGGAATTGATTTTCACTCCATCACTAACATTTAATTTGATGTAGGGAAGAAAGATTTGTAACTACCCACTCATTGCCTTTTTTTACCACATTTGTTTTCAACTTAGTCAACTTGTGTTTCATTTTTTTCCATTTATGAATTGTTTAGTCACTCACCGAAACATGAAAAAAAGCATATAAACCACTTAATTTGTGCAAAGTACCTACTTGTGGACTCATTAATGCTTATAAAAACCCTTATTTTTTGATGCATTTCTATAAATTGCGACCTCTCATTCTCACTTCTGCCTCGGGTTGGCCCGTTGGACATGTTCTCATATTGGCTGCAGTATTTTCCTGCACTGACTTGGGTGTGTAAGGAAATACAATGCCGAAGTAGGGGCTTCCCAATTTATGCATGCTGCATTTAGTTCTCTCTTCCTCAACCTTCCCTGTTTCTAGAAATGGGTCAAGCATTCAGTCTAGAATCAATTGACTTAACTTTATACCATATGAACTCTCAATAATAAGTGAATCAATGCTATGTCAGTTAGCCTGATCTATTTTGGGCAAGTCTGGGCTTATAAATTTGTGCATGATCAAGACTATTAGCAATTGCAATTATGATAAAATTATAAGGATTTAAGAATGTTGGTGTTGATTTAAGAAATGCCTTTGGTGTTGGTATGGGTTTTTGCTATTTGAATTAGGTTGGGGCTTTTAAAGCATTGTGCATGTTCTATTATCTTGTGCAGCAGCTAAGCTTGTATGATTAGTGCTGAGAAATTATGTAAACATGGGTAGATGCCTTGGAGATGATTTCTCTTGTATTGACATGGTTAGATGCCTTGGAGATGATTTCGATTCTATTTTGTATAATAATCACTTCCATGCTTTCAGTTCTGCCTGCAGCCAATGCTCTGGTAATTGTGTGCTAGACATTTGTTTAATCTTAGCTTGAGAAAAATTTGTAGTTGTTGTCAAGCATGACGGTGAGGTTATTGCAAACAGAGCAATGACTCTTTGCATTTGGTGATTGCTTTGCTGATACTCAGTTGAAAGTCCTTTCTTTTTCTTAAAAAAAAGAAGGTGATGTGTTTTTGAAGAGCATTCAGATCATATGGAAGGGATTATCATTGTTGATATGCATGGGGTTGGAAACATTAATTATCACCGCCACTGTATTGAATGCATTTACTTTCCGATTATTTAAACTTCCTTTCCCTATGACTTTCACAGTGATACTTTAGACAAATGTTGACTTCTTTGATTTTTCAACTTCCATAGGGGCGTTTCCAGATACTATGCTTGTCAGGCTCTTACCTGGTTTCTGAAAGTGGTGGTCCTCGCAATCGAACTGGTGGTTTAAGTGTTTCCCTTTGTAGTGCTGATGGCCATGTCATTGGAGGCGGAGTTGGTGGCATGCTTATTGCAGCAAGCCCGGTTCAGGTATATTCCCCGTTTCACTTCTAATACCCACCCTGCATTCCCTGTTCATGGTTATTTGCATTCCCTGTTCATGGTTATTTACATGTCTAAGTAGCACAAACAAAACACGCGACACGATACGATACGATACGATACAATTGTTTTTAAAAAAAATACTGGACACGACACGCTTGGGACACGTTAAAAGTTTATATTCTTACAAATTTATTTATCATATATGAATAATTTATTCAAAGATAGTGAAAAATATGCAACATAACTCTAATTACATTAAAAAGCTATATACTTAAACATCATGATAACAATTACATTTTGAAGAATGCAAATCAATTATAGAACATTATCACATTGTGTATTCATGTTATAAATGTTTTAAAATATATTTAGAGTGCATAAGTTGTGTTATGATGAATGCAAAACATTATTATTATGAAGAGATTCATCAGGTGAGACGTTTTTGGAGGGTTCAAGATGTGTTGCCCAAATGTTTGTGAAGTAATTTGATTTTTTAATTAAGGAAAGTTAAAGAAGCATGCTTTTTTTGTAGAAGTGTCTGTGCTTCTTAGTTACATGTTTTATGTTACTCGTCCAAATGATTTGTTAATTGCTGCATTCTATGGCCAAAACAAAAGTACGACAGTTTGATTTCAATGACAAAATGCATGGCAACGAATGTCAATTACTGCAGGTGGTAGTATGCAGTTTTGTATACGGCGGTTCTAAATCAAAGACCCAAATGGCAGTTGATCCCAGAGGTGAACAATTTCCTGTGCTTCCTCCTGGTGAAAAATCAGCCGCACCAGCAATTGCTGCTTCTGGCCAAAATCATCATACTCCGAATTCTTCAGCTGGTGTTTGGCCTAGTTCAATGCCTCAAATGAGGAATCCGCATACTGGGATTGACTTGACGCGTGGATGATGATAGCAAGACACATGGCAGTTTTTGTATATATGTGTTGTAAATGAACCGCGTCGATGGGATCGGTGAACTCTTTGACCACACCTTGTCTTACCAGGATTAGATGATTGTTGTGCTAACATATTTGTAACAGTTATAATTATGAGTTTTTATGTAGGAACCATTGTAGAAATTTTCTGGCAATTGGGAGTTTCGGTGCACTATTGTCATTTGTAGTAGGTGAACATGATTTCTGTTCCAAATGATCCAGGGGTTATCTTCTTTGGGCTAAGTTGTAACTGTATCTTCATTTTAGTTTGTGAAAAATATTGATGACCCAACTAGATTTGTTTTCCATGTTAATTGTTTTTTTCCATCTTACATAGATTTTAAATCTTTAGCTAATTTATGATCCAAACAAAGCTTAAAAATAAGCAGCAGCTTTTCGAACAACCACTAAGCAGGGGATGATTCAGGTAGATAGATGAATAGAATGTATACAAGAGAGGAGTGGCCACGTTTAATATGTGAACTAGGTTTTTTTACTCTCTTTGAGATAGATAATACTAGGAAATATATTTAAGTTGAATGTTAGTAGTATGTAGGACAAAATTAATTTGTATTATATTGTGTAAGCATTCATATTGATTAGGATAACATCTAGAGTGACATTATTATTTTTTCTTATATTTTTGATAATTAGGTGGCCGGATCAATTTGTGTATTTCAATTATTTTTGGAAGTCCAATTTCATTGCCCACTTGTGGAGTTCCAAGTGAGATTATGACGATACCAATCTCACTGTCGGCTTGAAAAGACTCCAAATGAGATTATGAAAAACAAAATGTATGTAAGATACCAATCTCACTGTCGGCTTGAAAAGACTCCAAATGAGATTATGAAAAACAAAATGTATGTAATCTTATCTAACTTTTGAAGAGACTGCGTGAAAAGCCTTTATACCCAGTGAATTATTAATCTGGGATACGTGAAAAGCCTTTATACCCAGTGAATTATTAATCTGGGATACATTGTTTCTAGATTATTTGGTTTGACTGAATTTATATCATATATTTGTTTAGTTATGAGATTAGATGTCTGGATTGGATTATTTTTAGTGAATCCAATATTTGTTTGTGATATTATGGAAAATAATAAGGTGCCGTTTGGTAACACTTACGTTTTCAGTTTTCTGTTTATATTTACAAAAATTTAAAAAACTTAGATAAAAACTTGTTTGGTAAAATTTTTGATTTATAAATTAGTGGTCTAAGTTTATAAATTTGGCCAAAAAATATAAACACAAAAAATGTGTTTCCGTTTTGAGTTTTTAGTTTCTTTTTTTTTTACCACCCAACACTAGCCACCACTTGCCACCATTTTCCACCGCCGTCTTCCGTCACCACCACCCACCACCCACCCCCATCACCACCTGTCACCACCACTCACCACCTACCTGCCACCGCCACTACCCCCACCACCCGCCACCCAACCCGTCATTGTCACCCACTGGGACTTAAGACTTGGTTTGGTTTAATTGTAGCATCTTCTTGTAGCTGCTTATAAAAATATATGTTATTTTTTAATTAAAATTTTAAATAAATTTATTTTAAATAATAATAATAATTAAATAATGAAATAAAATAAAACATCTATCAAAATTTAAATAATGAAATTAAATAAAATATAAACAAAATTTTAAAATAAAACATCAATAAAATATCAATAAAAAAATATTTTAAAAAATTAAATAAATAAAACAAAAATAAAAATTAAATTAAATAAAATAATTTTATTTTTAAATTGAGACATTTAAATTTTTTTGAATTTTACTAAATATAATACATAATTAAATACTAAAGGGCAAAAATGTAATTTTATTGTCTAATCCCACCCTCCCATGAGATAGGATAGTCCCATATTTGTGGGACTAATAATCCGGGAAGACTATTAGTTCGGGACAAAATTTTTCAAACAAACAATGAACCATTTATAGTTCAATCCCACACCCTAATCCTTCAAAACAAATACACCCTTACATAAATGGTCCTTTAAAAGAGGGCTTAATATATATTTACATTAGTTGTAATTCTTCTGTCAGCTATTTCATCTACCACTGATACAAATTTCTTCTTGCATTATTATTACAAAACACCAAGCTTTCCATTGACACACATTCCACTAAAATTTATTTTATAATTTAGCTCCATTAACAATTCTTGTCTTCATTGATGTGGTGACTAATATTTATTTTTATATTTTGGCTCCGTTATTAAGACATTGATATGCCAACTTATTTTTTTATATTTTAGCTCCATTACTAAGACATTGATATGTTAACCACCACACTCAGCAGCGGGTATTGATAGCACCCTTGACAGGCATCAAAAACCCGCCAACACTAGTGAAAACCCGGGTTAGAGCTTGTTCTAATGAATACTACAGTAATTATACACATTTCCAACAGGCCAGAAAGTCACGTTTTCCATGGCTTCTTTTTCATTCTTACCATGAACATGGAACTAAACTGATGTTCCACAAAGGTGAATTGCTTGGTGATAAGTAAACCATTACTTGTGCATCAACCGCAAAAATGGGAAGAAATAGAACATTCATTAGAAAACAGCTAGCATAATTATAAAATCCAAGGTGTGACGTTTACATAATATGAAGGTTCAAACAAAGGAGGCACTGTTGACAATGATTCATCAGGTCTTACTATAAAAGTGCCATTATTTACCAAAAACTAGAAAAAGCAATCACAACTCAGAACTTAAGCGCTTCCCAGAAGTTTCTTGATATCCTTCTGCAAATAAATACAGAATACATGAGAACATTGTATTGGCTGTCACTGGTGTAGGTGGATTTGTAAGATTGAGAAAATGAGTAATTGCGTAAGCAGGTTTTACCTCGATACTAAGAGGAGAAGTCGTGGGAGCATAGCGATCGACAACATTTCCTTCTTTATCAACCAAGAATTTAGAGAAATTCCACTTAATGCTGTCCCCAAGAAGTCCACCTTTGCTTGACTTCAGGAACTTGTATAGTGGAGCAGCATTATCACCATTCACATCAACCTAAGAATAAAATGGGTGTTAGCAGCCGACCACTCTAATCAAAGAACATAATGTGGAGAAGCAATGGCATCGTAAGTTTTCATTGGAGGAAGTGAAGGACCCTCTTAAATTTTATTTATTTATTGGATAAGTAAAGGACCATTTAACACATGAATGGGAAGGAGGAAGGAAAACAGTAAAATTAACACCTCCATTTATGATTGATGACAACAAGATTTAAACCCTACTCCACAAACTAATTTTGGACCTTTGGTGCTGGTTGGACACTGGTTTTGTAAAACAATAATACAAGGATAAGCCCATGTTTTATACCACATTTTGTTTATCATGAGAAATCTCATGTGTCAATACTGCATTAATATAATAGGTGGTCACCACAAGTTTTATAGTTTAATAACACTGCAAAATGAACAATACAAGGAGTGTCAACCAAGTACAACCATTTGAAATCCTCTCAAATGAGGCCATAGAAGGACTAGGAATGTCAGAAACACAGGGTAGCATGGAGATTCATTATCTTAAACCCAGTCCAACCCGCCCAGTATTTTCACAAACACAGGATAGCATGCGTGCCGTGAGATACAATAATACGAGTTTTTCAAGTTATAGAGGTACGTGCATAACATGTCTTGAATACATAGTGTTATCAGGAACCTCAAACAACAGATCTATTCAATGCATACTAGGCACACATTTTTCAATATCTTGCAACCAAAGATTTCAAAGTGAAAATTTTATATTCTAGGTCTTTCAGAAAAGGAGAAAAATGAGACAGTAAATGGAAATGAAGAAAGATCTTGTTTATAATTTACTTATTCATCCCAAAGCAGTTCATTGTTGGCAATACCTACCTTATCAAATATGGGGAATTCAGCCTTAAAGCGAGTGCAAGCAAACTCCAAAATCTGGTCATTATTCCCTGGCTCCTGCTCACCAAACTGATTGCATGGGAATGCGAGAATCTCCAGACCTGCACTTACATAAATGCATGATAAGGCACTAAGTAAGTGTAGAGGAAAACAGGGGTTTTATTCTACTATTCAGTTTCTCTAATACTTTCCTGGAGAAACAGGGAGTTATTACACAAAAATAGCGATATGTTTGAAATATATATAACTAATTCAACACTAAAAAATGTGTGTTGGCACGTTCATAAGAAATGATTGAGCTACCCAATTGAAAATAAATTGAAGCGAACCTTTATCTTTGTACTGTTCATATAATTTGCTCAACTCTGTGTAATTCGAATTGGTCAAGCCGCTGCATCAGAAAAAATTAATTGTTAGACCACACTTCTGTTATTCAAATTAGTGTCATTTTTTCTTTCCTCTTTTTGGGTTAGAGATTGGAGAAACGGGTTGGACTAGGATACCACCTCTAGAGAAATACCTACTGTTGTCCTAGTTTAAGTATGCTAGTAAGTAGCAACTGCAACTAATACAATTCGGTTTTGTTATGGCACCACTAGTGGCTACCATGGAAAACAAAGGGATGCATTCCACAAAACCTGAATTAGAATGAGAGTTAAGGAGCTCAAGCTTGAATAATCAAAAGACAATGCTTACCAACAACCCCTCGGAAAAGAAAGTACAAAAACCAAGAAACTATGTTATATACCATTGTGATGCGACATTTACAATCAGTAGGACCTTCCCCTTGTACATGCTAAGATCCACATCATTTCCTTTAACATCCTGTTGTAAAATGAACATAAAACACATGAAATTCAGAAAGAAAAAACCTCCCAGCATTGGACACTAAAATCTTGATCACAGTAAGTCCCCGCTTGGTAAAACTTATTTTGAGCCTTTTAACTTAAATTTTAAATCACATGCGTAAGAGCATCTCAAATCCTTCAAATTTTCTTTCAAATTTATATTCGATGAGAAAGTAGTCAAAAATAATCTCCAATCCTTTCATCAAATCAAAGGAGCGTTAATTTTTTCATATTTTGTGAGCTCATCAAATTTAAATTTGATAAAAATTTAAAAAGACAAAGCACTAGAGATAGAATTTTTTCCCCATCAAAAATTGATGAAAGTTGAAATTTGGGATATGATGAGAATTTTTAAAAAGATTTTGACGAAAATTTGATGAAAGGATTAGATTATTCATATCAAATCAAGCTTTTTCACTCAAATTTGAAATCAAATCAGATGAAAAAAATTAGTGAAGTGTCTTAAGCAGTTCTACTTTGAAAAAGTATTTTCAGCTCTTTTAAAGCTAACTTTAAGTTTTACTAGACAGTGCCTAAATAAAATTTAGAATTGATTCACACAGTTACACTATTTAAGTCTCATCTTTCAAATTCTGAAAAAATTCAAGACTCCACAAACCACAAGAGTGAATTGAACCTAGTTACTAGTTCATAATTTGGCAGCTCACATAAATTCAATACATTCACACGCATACAAACAATAGATTCAAAAACACATAAGCAGAGAGATTTGTACCCAAAAAAAAAAAAGAAAAAAAAAAAAAAGAAGAAGAAGCAGAGAGGTCGGGATCGAAGGGGTTAAGAAACCTTGACGGTGAGCTCATGGACAGATTGGGGCTTCTGGGATTGGCTAGCCATTGTATGTTCCGATCTCAAACTACACAGCACAGGCCTTGTTGTTGAAGAAGCGTTGTTGCTCTGATATATACGAAATGATGATGACCCACAAGAAATCTCTGCTTTCAAGGGCGAATAGAGCAAAGGAATTGAAGAATTGCGAAGAAAATCGAAATGGGTTCGCTTGAGAAGACGAGAGAATTGCTTTGGTACGCTTAGGTTTGTTCGGATCAGGAAGCTAACTGAACAAGAACAGAGATACATATAGAGAGAGAGAGAGAGTAGCTCTTGCGTCGATGTAAATATTAAGAGGTATAGGATTACACGTGTCTGCTGTATTTGTATAACGCGTGGGTATAGGTAGTCCAAACGTGTTGGACTTAGAGTTTGGTCTGATGGACCGTTGAGATCATTCTAATAGAGGCTGTGTGATGGTTGTGATGAACGGTGCGATGATGCTTTGGGTTTTTAGGCTTTTTTTTTTTGGACTTATTTATTTATTATGAAAAATAAAAAAAAATAAAAAAAGTGATGTCATCTAATTAAATTAAAATTATTATTATTTATTTTATTTTTTTTCAAGAAGGCCTTAGTTGTTTGTCAAACATCAAAAACTGGTCAATTTGAGCCCAAACAATTTGGCCATCAAAATTGTTTTGATGATTTTTTTATTATTATTTTTCATTTTATTACTTGTTATTTATTTACTTTTGATAACTAGTTGTTTGGAACAATTTGATCGCATCTCAACTAATTTTAAAATCTTAAAATTAATCATCGGACAAACTTCTAAGAACCCCTTTAAGTGATTTGAATTCGAAATTTGAATATTATCCTTAATTTTTCATTGGCAAGTTGGATTTTATTATACAATAATATTTGAAAAACTCTAATAGAACTCTAATGATATAGAGAGTGCCCATATGATATGGGGGCCCACACTCCTCTCTCTCTATCTCTCTCTTTCTTCTACCTCATTAGAGTTTCCATTAGAGTTACTATCTTAAAGTTATGTATCATTATTTTTTATTATAATAAGAGAAATGTTAGGGATCATGAAATTTTTTTCATAAAAATGATTATGAAAGATTTGTGACCCTTAGATTACCTTGATTGGTGTATGGTACTTTATTTTAAGTGTAATCTAAAGATCATAAATATTTCATGATCATTTTTATGAAAGACTTTATATGATACCTAGCATTGCTGTTATAATAATGATGCCAAACAATCAATTTTCTTGGTTTTTTAATTTATATATTTCTTAAATTTTTTTGGGACGTCCAAATTTAGAAGAACTTAAAAGGTAAAGAAATTGGATTAAATTTGAAAAAAAAAAATTAAAAAAAAATGAGATGAAGCTAAAACTAACAAAGGTTGGAAAAAAAATTGTTGCTAAAAAAATATTTGATAGACCGGGACTGATAGTGGAAGACATGTACAAATAAACAATTGATCCTAATCAAATCAGTTTTAGTCAAGCAAAAACTATAATCATCTTTTCATTTATAATCTTGAAGAAAACAAAAAAACAAAAAACAAAGTATAAAATTTTTGTGCATTGTAACTCAAAAAATAAAAAATAAAAACCCACAAATAAAAGAATCAAACAAGAAAAAAAAAAAAAGAAAAAAAAGAGAGAGTACAAATCATTACAATCTGCTGACCCTCTCAAGCAGATTATTCACAGTTATAGTAAAAGCATCCTGAAACTTTTCAAGCTCTGAATTTGGATCTCCATACACCAACCCAGGTAACAATTCATACACTATATATCTCCTCATGTCCTCTCTCACCATTGCAGGAACTTCCATGAGCTTTTCTACAACATTCACATTCACTTCTCTCACCTCCTCTTTATCTATGAACACTGAATATTTCTCATGATCTTGTGGTAAATGCCATGGATATTGATAGTAAGCTGTAAAAGGATCAAACAACACAGGAATGCAACCCGAGACAAGAGAGTCGAACACCGATTTTCTTGTCGGGCTATCGCCTGGAGGCTGTAAACAAAACTCAGATTCCATGAACAGCTCAATGATCGATTCGGGTTCATCACAACCACCTGAACTGCAATTAAGAAGCTGACATTCGACGCTATTGGTGCACTGCTTGATCAGCGTTGATCTTATGTTGTCAGGGGCGCCAGGGCGGGCTGCCCCTGCGAAACTCACGAGGTTTTTGCGGTTGGATCTGATGATTTTGAGCTGCCAATCGACAACATCGTTGTCGGATTGAGGGTGGAAGTGGGTCGGATGAGGAATACCGATGTCGTTGACGTGCCAGGGTTGTCGTTCGATCAAGAGCTTTATCGGGTTTTGCATTTGATTGAGCTCTAACAATCTAGTCCCCCACGAACTAGAATTGTCGAATCGCCTGAAATCCCATGAAATCTTCCCCAAAACAAACACATGGTCCTTGCCAGAGTTCCGCGGCCAGGGGGTTCGGGACTCGAGCCACTTGACAAGGTCTAGTGCCAAACTGTCCTTGACATCATTTGACACATTCTTGAAATGCCATCTCAAGATGTCTAGTCCTCCGTAGTATGGCACATAGAAGAGCTTTGCTTCGTTTTCGTTGTATACTCGACACGGATGCTTCAGAACCCGGGAATGAAATATAGGCTCTAACGAGTATTGGTGAGTCCGATACCATCCTTTGCCGAGCTCTGGTATTGGCTCTCCCAATGCTTCATTGCTCAAGTATTTACAGAAATCATCAATCCATGGAATCATATCACCACATTGAGCAGTCAAGCCTTTGTTGAACCTTGGTGGCAATTCATAGACATATATTCCTCTCCCATTGCATGTTGCCTGCTTTGAATTCGACACCCAAGATCGATGTAGTTGTAGCTGTTCTTCAACAACCTTAACAGCATTTGCCACCTCTTCATTCATGTATTTTGTTATGCCCTTCTCGACAATTCGATCAACTGGATTTTCAAACAAGACTGCGTGCATTTGATCGTTTTCTGACACTATAGTGACAGGTGTCTCATGATTTGGGATGTCATTTTTTGAGTTTTCTGGCAAAACTGCATACGTCTGATTGTTTTCTGACCTTACAGTGACAAGAGTCTCGTGTATTGGGATGTCATTTTTTGGATTTTCAAGTAAGATTGCGTACATCTCACCCTTTTCTGACCCTACAATGACGGAAGTATTGTGTACTAGATTGTCATTTTTTGGGTTTTCAAGGAAGGCTGACTCTACTGTGATAGGAGTCATATGTACTGGACTATCATTTTTTGGATTTTCAACGGCAAAATGATCAACGACTTGTTTTATATCGAGATTGGAGTATTGATGATTAATGAAACTATTATTGATGACTGGAATTGGGATTTTGAGGTTGGGTTGAGTCCCGGCAGACAAACAATAGAGGTTGTTGAGCTTGCGAGAGGAGACGCAAACATGAAGGATGTTGCCGGAAATAATGGTGGTGGAGGAAGACCAAAGGAAGACAAGGATCAAGAGAAGAAGAGCAAGAGGGACTCTATACAACAATTTGGTTAGGATTGAATCAAAGAAGCTAGGTTCTTTGGGTTCCAATCTCTTGGGTATTTTAGAATTCTTCTTGGACAAGTCTGCAACAGCCATTTTTGAGGAGCTAAACAATGATTGTTGGATATTGCATGGTTTGGTTGTGGGTTTTCTAGTGAGGGGGGTGGCTGCAGAATTGGATAGTTTGGACTTCCCAAACAAAGGCGGGCTATATTTGGACATGGAAGCACGTAGTTGCTCGATTGGCATCCTAATTTGTGGGCACGTTGGTTTGAAGATAGTGCACCAGAATATTTAAATGATGAATAGTGATATATGTATTAATTAGTGTATTAATTAATGATGCAACATAATTTAAGATATTATTGATATTTGTAATTTGTATAATGAGTGGGAGAGTGGTGCTACATGTACCAATTAATATACTAACTAGTATACCAACACTAGTTGTGACATTATTATTGACCCCACTTATTATATAAATTATAAATATTAAAAACATATTAAATTATCTTACATCATCAATTGGTAGTACACTAATTGGTACATAAAGCATTGAGTAATGCTAGAGACCCCAAATATTCTACTAAAAGTTTTACCAAATGTCTCACATGGGTGTGGGACCCACACAATGTGGGTCCCATGTGGGTCCCACACTTATGTGAGACATTTGGTAAAACTTTTGGTACAATTTTTGGGGCCTCTAGCATTTTTGTAAAGCATTAGTCATGAGAGGGGTCAATAATAAGGTCATAATTAATGTTGGTACACTAATTAATATACTAATTGATACATGTAACACAACTCTTAAATGATTAGATTAGATTGGTTCAAAATACAATGTTCCCGCATAAGTCATATCTCATAATCTCAAAAATAAAAAAAAATAAAAAAATAAATAATAAAATAAATAATAAAAAATAATGTAATGAATTTTACATCTTTTAAGAATAATGTGGGTGACAACAATATTTTAAAAGGAAATGAATTTTCACTCGTTTTGAAAAATGGATTGCCCCCTGTAGTCCTCCTTATGTGGACTTATCTCAAGCTTATTTCGGTAAGAATACAGATTGAGATCCCATTTCTCCCCCTCTTTTTTTGACTATTTTTCTTTTTTGATTGACCATTTTTTCTTTTTTTTTTCTCCTCCTCCAATCACCATCCGCCACGTGTGTGGGGTGGTGGGAGTTGAAGTTTGAGGGGGTTTAAATCACTGCTGTTTCGGTAATTTAAATCGATTATCTTGTAGGGATCATCAAGAAAAATCATTCATGTAAAAAAATCAAGTTAATTAGACATTATTAAGATCTTGTTTGGGAACATGCTAATTTAGTAACTTTTTGACTATTTGACTAAAATATGAGTTAAAAAAAACTAGTATGTTTAGGATGACTTTTTGACTTTTTACGAAAAGATGTGCAAAAAACTAGTATGTTTAGGATGACTTTTTGACTTTTTACGAAAAGATGTGCAAAAAGTAAAGAGAAAAGAGAATTTTTGACTTTTTGATATGGATTGTTGACTTTTTGACTAATTTACTATAATAGGTTATTCTTCTTCTTCTTCTTCTTCTTCTTCTTATTATTTTGGTAAATTATAAACATGCCTTCTGAGATTTACTTAAAATATAAAATTATCTCTTGTAATTTGAAAAATTACAAATACCTCCCTGTAAGAATTTTTTATTTAATAGAATTAATTAAAAAGTGAAATTTCTAATTGTTTACCTATATAATAATAAAATTATCTGAATTATTAATTGAAATAAAATTTTAACATTATTAAAAACAGTTAATTAACTTGATGATTTATTAATAAAAGGACATATTTGTTGTGAAATTAAAAATTTAGGGGCATAATGTAATTTTTAGAATTACAAAAAGTAATTTGTAACTTAAGTAAATCTCATGAGGTGTGTTTGTAATTTATCTTTATTATTTTAAGCTTTTTTGATGTTTGTAAAATGATAAGACTTATCATTTTGGATATAGTTGCAACCAAGTCAACTTGAGTTGTAATAAGTTTATTCAAGTTTGATTTGAAAATTTAAGGAATTTCAAAATTTATTAAAGTTTAGTTTGATCACCTAACGAGTTAATTTGGAACAGGTTTACAAGTTAAACATATGTTAAACTCGAGTAATTTTAATTTTTTTATAATGCATATTTGCTTATCAAGCCTAGTGGTATATTATTGAGAATCTCGATTTAAAAATTTAACGTACTTCTAAATGTGGTAAAACTTTTATTATGAATAAAAATTCTATAATATACATATTATATTTTTTACACAAATCACAAATATAATTGGATTTGCTTATTGAATTTATTCTAATAATAGAGTTCATTTTATGCACATCTATATATTATATAAGCAAAATAAGGTTTTTAATGAGAAGGCCCTTGTGAAATTTAAAACCCTCATATTATTTTTCTAGAATTCTTATTTGTTAAATAATTAAAAAAAATTCTATTGGTTAACTTTTATTGAATCATTTTAAAAAATAGTAATTGATCCATTTAAAAGGAAAGTTAATTAATCTATTTAAATAGCTTTTATGCCTTGATTTATATATTTCAAAAGGAAAGTTAATTAATTCATTTAAAAATTTGAATTTGAAAGGAAATTTAATTAATCTTGTGGGGACATATTTTTGAATAGCAACACATGGCCAAGGTAGCACCGAAATACCAGTCAATGTGCCACGTGTCCTGGTCTTGGCAATGAGGTGATCTCGGCTAGGCCGAGGTTACCTGCGAAGATACCAGAATTTGAGATGAACGGATAAGGGATAAGAGTCCTAGAATGAGGGAGGACCTCAGCCTAGATAAGGATAAAACTCTTAGGGAGTTTATCTTCATCTATTGGAGAGTCCAGGATGAGCATTGGGCCAGAGTCCAAGAGAAGCTAGTCTTCTACAGGGATCAAGTTAGTGTTGGCTATAAAAGTAAGGCACCCCCGTAGGTCTAAGGTACGCTTTTTGTATTTTGACTAGTGAGTAAAAGTACTATTTGCTATCTTTGAGAGATAATTGAGTATTGACTTGATCGTCGGAGTGCTACTGGGTGGACGAACCATCGCCGGAGTCTTATCTTTTGTGACAGGTCGTTCGGGCGCAATCTATTTTGCCGGTGTTCTCCAGCTGAGTACTTGTTTGGCAGTGTGGTCAAAAAATAGCACACACAATTTGGCACCGTCTGTGGGAAAGAAAGGAGAATAAATGGCCAACGATGGAGAGAAAAAGAAGATCAGGAACGACATCCCTAGTTGAAGTGGTAAACACATTAACCCTAACGAGGAGGAGGATAACTGCAACGAAGAAACTCGGGATAAGAATCCCGGATAGAAAGGCGTCGACAAGGAGGGAGACGTACCAAAGAAGGGAGACTGAGGCTCAAAGGACTTTGAAATCAGGAAAATGAGGTGAGTGGAGTGACAAAATGGCCTTATAGGTAGTCAATTATCAAAACTAATCAAATGACATTATTTTAATCAAATTTAATTACTCCGAACCGAATTTTAATTAAGCCTACCATAAATTCTTATAAATCATAATTAACACATAAATCAAGTCAATTTCTGATTCGGACGCCGATAAGGCTTTCAATTCGCAAATCGAAACTAAAACATGAATAGATCTTCCTACGCCTAACAGATATAAACACAAACAATGCAACACACATGCAATTTAATTCAGAATTTCACCTTAATCACTAATTAGGCCCAATCAATCACGGATTAACGTTAGTCAGAGGTCTGGGTTGTTACATCTACCCTCTACCTAAACATACCCATGTCGTCTGCTAGAAGGACAATGTGTGAGAATTTAGAGAAAAGAGGTTTGTGTGGGTTTCATGGACCTCGGCTACAATTTAAACAAGTGTTGGCGGAATTCGTTTTAATTTTTTTCTAAAGAAATGGAGTTCTAGAGCAAATCCCAATCCTAGAGTTGCTAAAACAGGAGTTGAAGGCAAGAATCTGGCAAATGCAGCAAGAAAACAGAAAACAACAATGATTCAGACTCAAGAAGATAAGCAAGAATTCAAAGAACGCTATAACGAAGTGTGTGCAGGGGTGCAAGGCCAAGAACAGTGGGAAAATAAACAAGTGTATGAGCGGTGTGTGTATATGTATACTTAGAAAGAGATTGGGCAGACGCAAAATCATGAAACAAATGTGCTCAATACATGAATGATGGAATTCAACGCACATGTAAATATTCAAGAGCATGACCAGGTTCACAATGGCAGCAAACAATGCAGTGGAGTTTTTAGGTAATCACAAATTGATAAGAGGGAAAATAGTGACTTACAAAAGGGAGTGACGTTGGTGTGAGATACGCCGAAGTTAAACGATAGTGGTACGAGTAGCAGAACGGTGAATGCCTCGCCGGAGGAAAAGAATGAAAGCAGTTGCAGAAAGCTTCGAGAAAACAGAGATGGAGGATTTGGGAGAGAAGTGTTAAAGAGAGATAACTTGAGTGAACGGTGATACAAAGGTGAAAAGACGGAGAGAGAGGGATGTTTTGATCAAAAACACGAAAAGGCGGCAAAATCGTAATTAGTGTGCCTAGGATGACGTGTCTATCAGGCGGCGTACACAAAAGCGACGCGACCTGATAGTGTGTGTGAGGTACGAATCAATGAGGAAAGGACGCGTGGCGAAAACGGTTGAGAAATCATACGTGACAGCTCATGCGCATATGGAACTCTTGGAGTTCTTGATTTAATAAAGCAAAGCCCTCGTCTAAGGAACTCGAAAAACTTGGTTCTTGGTTCTAAGGCATTGAGAAAACACACTATAATCTTGGTCATAAGGAGCCGACGTGTGACGACCTCAGTAATGAAGGATAGAGCAAGTCCTAGCCGACATGCTATGTGAACGAATGATATAGGGTCCACCACCTCAGGATGCCGACGTAATAAAACCTAGGGGGCAGTTTGTGGGGATATGTTTTTTGAATAACAGCACGTGGCCAAGGTGACACCGAAATACCAGCCGAAGTGCCACGTGTCCTAGGCTTGGTGCCGAGGTGATCTCGGCTAGGCCGAGGTTACCTGCAAAGATACCGGAATCCAAGATGAACGGATAATGGATAAGAATCCTAGAATGAGGGAGGACCTCAGCCTGGATAAGGATAAAGCTCTTAGGGAGTTTATTTTTATCTATTGGAGAGTCCATAATGAGCATTGGGCTAGAGTCCAAGAGAAGCTAGGCTTCTACAGGGATCAGGTTAGTGCTGGTTATAAAAATAAGGCACCCC